AATAAAATAAAATAAAATAAAATAAAATAAAATAAAATAAAATAAAAAGGAGGACATCTGTCCACTCTCCCTGAGTGGCTGGGGAGCCTAAGTAGGGTGACCGATGTCAAAAGCCTGTCAGGTTAAAAGCAGTGCTCTGTAAATGTTTATCTTCTCCCTCCTTCCTCTTCAGATTTCTTTCCTAAACCCCTGTCAGCAAGTTTCCCTTTTCCTTCTCTGAAGAGGGTAGGGAGAGAGGCTGAAGGTACTGCTCCTGGGGAGTTGCTCCAGGGGCTAGAGGGGCCAGAAGTTAATCTCCCATAGGTTTCTAGCCCTTAGGGGGGACCTGGAGAAATGCCCAGGGAAACTGTCAAATAGTCTTTTAGATGTAAAATCTGCCAAGTGAATCAGCCAAAGAAATCAATTACCATAGGATTTGCACAAACCCTCTGCACTGGGTGAAAGGGGAGGGTGGATTGTATTAGGAACTGAGATCTTGGCAGCCACTTTGGGAGGGAGTGGCAGGTGGAGGGGGAGGGCTCTGACTGGCAGGTGTATGGTCTGAGAAGAGAGGAGAAGAGAGAAGGGGAGAGGAGAGGGGAAGAGGGGGAAGGGGAGGAGGAGAGAGGTGAGGAGGAGGGAGGGAAGGGTAGAAGAGGGGAGGGAAAGAGAGGGAGCCCCATATTTTGAGCAGTCTGTGCTCCCATGCAGGCCATGCAGAGATGCTGTGTGCATGCCTTCTCACTTGTTTCTTGCAGTAGCCTCATGAGCCAGATACCATTCTTAACCAGGAATCTGAGGGGTTCCGAAGCTTGTCCAAGATCATGCAATTAATAAGTGGTAGGCATGTAGTTTTAATGAAGTGAGTCCAGAAACTCTGCTTTGATCTGTCAGCATACAGGGGCTCATGTAGGTTGCCCGATGTCTGTGGTAAGTTTTATTTAAGGTCTATTAATTGGGAGATGTATGAAGGGGCTTTGTCCTAAGTTTTTGCTGGCTTTTGAGACTGTATCTTGAAATGTGAACAGAGGCAGATCAAGTTTTCAAAAGAATGTGTAAAAATGTGAGGCCTGGAGAAATAACCTTTGGTAAAGTATGTGCCCTGCAAGCCTGAGGAACTGAGTTCAGATCCCTGCACTCACGTAAAAGCTGGGCATGGCTGCACATACCTGTAACCCACTGCAACCTACTGCTGGGATAGGTGGAAACCTGGAGACTCCTGAACCTTGCTAACTAGCCTGTCTTCCCAAACGGTGAGCTCTAGGTCCAGTGAAAGAGCTTGTTTTAAAGACATAAGGTGGAGAGCAACAGAAAAAGACACCCAACAGTGACCTCTGGTCTCCCCATGTACAGGCACACATGTGCACATGAACACATACACACACACACAGACACAGAGACACACACATACACACACACACACACACACACACAGAAAGAGAGAGACAGAGAGAGACAGAGAGAGAGAGAGGAGGGGATTTAATTTGGGGGTTATATATAATATCTTTATAGTATATATTGCTTCCTCTTTATTTTAAAATACTTTGGCAGTGAGTGTTAGTATTCTGCTTAAACTTCACCTCCACAGTTACCTGGCTATAGCCAGGTATGCTCCTCCCCACAGTTACCTGGCAACAGGCAGGTAGGCCTGCCCACTATAAAAGGGGCTGCTTCCCCCTTCTCTCTCTCTTGCTCCCCTTGCTCCCCCTGCCTGAAGGTTATCTGTCCTCTGTCCCCTCTCCCCTTCCCTTCCCCCTCTTTCATGGTCATGGCCAGCCTCTACTCCTCTACCTCTCTGCTCTCTGCTCTCTCTCTCTCTCTCTTTCTCCTCTTGCTCTCTCCCCACCTTTGCCCCTATCTCCCAAATAAACTCCCCCCTCGTGGAACTGTCTGATCTGCTGTGGTCTGTCTGTTCCAAGCTACTCGAGAAAACAGTGAGGACATAAAAATACATCACCAAATACCAATGGCTCCCTTTGTGCTACACAGCAGGGACTATAGGCCATGACCATCTTCATGGGACTAATTTCACAGTCTGTGCTTGCAAATGAGAACTTAAGAATGCGGCAGGTTCAGTTCTCATATTCCAGATACATGACTACAGGCATTGTGGGAAATAAAGGATCAGCGGGCTAGCTAGAATGAATAAGGCCAATGGCAGGGACTGAATGGTATCCCTTACTTCCTAGGCCCTGTACCTTATGGCATCACTGTGCTTTGAGAGTGAGCCTTAGGAGGTAGGCAAGGTAAAATGAGAGCCTTTGGATGAATCCTGTCCCAATTTGGTGACTTTACGAATAATAGAGATGAAGACACAGAAGGGTAAAGTGGCTGTTGTAGGGAGTCACAACTATGAGGAATCAGCAAGAGGGCAGCCATGTGCAAGTCAAGTCCACATGCCTTAGAGGAGGTCAACCTTACTGGCACCTTAACCTTCGATTCAAGGCCTTCAAACAGTGAGGAAAATGTCCTGTTGTTTAGGACACCCAGGTTCTGTTGCTGGCGTAGTTGCTCGCTCTTCTTTGGCTAATTAAGCCAGAGCATCACTTGGGGGCTGGGGGTGGTGGTGGGCGGCAGGGTAAGGATGAATTTGTCAGAAACTGGATCAGTGGTCTTGCATGCAGGGGGAGAGGGCCTCAGCATTTTAACCACCACCCAGAACCGGCTTCATCAACAGTATATGCATGCCCTAGATAGAGGAGAATGTGAGAAGGGTGACAAGCCTGTGCACAGGAGAGACATTCTGAAGGACCCAGAGTGGTACTAGGAGAAAGACAAATGTCTGAGGTGTGAGCATTTGCCTCCCCCTCCCTCTTCCTCCCCCACACCCCACACAGGATGGCCTAGGGCTTGGGCTTTCTATGGCAGTTAGCAGGAAGAGTTCTCAACAAATGTGGCTGACTACATGCTGGTTTTATATCCTGAATACTCTACTAAAGCTGCAGGGAAAATGATGTTTCTTAGGTGTAATCTGATGGTGATAGGGAGAAGGGTCGACAAACAGGGCAACAACTGACAGTAGGTGGCAAGAGAGTCTATGGGGGGCAAAGCTGGAGTCCTTATAATTGTCACCATTGAACTTACAAATGGCACAGGAATTGACAACTTCAATTGTAGCTATGTTGGTATTTCATCTCTAACAAGAACTTTTGATTAACTTTTATTTCCTCCTCCT